TGAAAAGCAGCTCAGCAGCATCTGGCACGCTTGCCACCGTGCCTGCCCCATGATGCACCACCTGGACTGTGGGCACAGACCTCAGGGAGCATGCCGGCTGTGTGCATGGAGACGCTTGTACACAAATGTTCTAGCACCACTGTCCGTGATGAAGGAGACTGAATCAGACAGCACGGAGCTCCAGCTCCATCATCTGTTTAAAGCTTTACCTTGTGTCAGAGTCCTGCTGAGTTGCCTAGGCTGGCGTCAAACTTGTGATCCTCGGCCTTAGCCTCCCAAGTGGTTGGCATTACAGGCCTGAGCCACCATGCCTGACACAGCACTGTGCTTAGTAGCAAACAAACCAACAAAAATCCACCTTGGTGCCCGTCAGTAAGAGCAGGCACACACCCATGCACACAGCCACATGCAGAGTGCCACACTGAAACCTTAATGTAATATGGCGACGTAGTGAACCTAGTCATCTAGAGCTCCATAGGTGAATCTGAAGTACAGTTTGAGTTTTAAAAAAAAAAAAAAAAAAGCAGGGGGCTGGGAATTTAGCTCAGCGGCATAATCGCCTGCCTTGCCAACAGGCAGTCGTGAGTTCGATCCCCAGTACCGATAAAAAGGAAAAAGACAAAAAAAAAAAAAAAAAAAAAGCAGAGCTTGGATATAGCTCAGCAACACAAGTACCTGCCTGGCAAACACATAGTCCCAAGTTCAATTGCCAGTACCAAAAAACAAACAAAAAAACTATAGTTCATATACCAGACAGTTCAAGATTTAGAAACACATACAAATAGCATATACGCTGTGTGAAAACCCTTGTAAAAATAAGTGTAAGAAAATGCATGATATTGATAAGCACCAGACACAAGCGGTCTCTGATTAACTCGGGAAGCAAAGGAAATAGCACCCTTAAAAGCTATTTATATTTTATTTAGAAAGATTTGACAGTGGTACGCACCTGTGATTCCACTATTTGGGAGGCTGAAGCAAAAGGATCCAAGTTCAAGACCCGCCCAGGGAATTTAGCGAGAATCTGTATCAAATTAAAGATAAAATAAATTTTAAAACAAAAAGATGTTGGGGCCATAGCTCAGGGGTACAGAGATCCCGGGTTCAATCCCCAGTATCAAAGGGGGAAAGAAAAGAAGATCTAAGTAAACCAAGCTGGATGGTAGGCACACAGGTGTATGCTGTTCCCTGTGCTTCTCTGAGTGTTTGAAATGATTCATTAGGTACAAAGTTGTATGTATTCATTGTAAAAATATTCAGATATTGCAAAGGCATAAAGAGGGTAGCTCAACAGTAGGGCACCAGGCTGGCATGAGCGAGGCCCTAAGTTCAATCCTCAACACTGAAAAAAATGAAAAACATCACAACATGAAGAAGATAAAGCTGGGCATGGTAGCCCATGCCTGTAATCCCAGCTCTGGGGAGGCTGAGGCAGGAGGATCACCACGAGTTCAAGTCTGGGCTACAGCCATCCTGAACTACATAATGAGACCGTGTCTCAGAAAAACAAAACAAAACAGAAAAAAACAAGAAGGAGAAACAGGAGGTAAGAAGCATTAAGATGTGATACATAAATGCACCAGCTCCTCAAGATAGATAGATATCAGTATATATCAGGAAAGGTATTAATAAAAAAAATTTAAGTTAAAGTATATAAACTTATAAATAAAATGAACTTTGAGGAATTAAATAATAAAGAACAAAAAGAAAGCTGGGCCTGGTGGTATATGCCTGTACTGCAGCACAGGGGAGGCTGAGGCAGGAAGATCCCAAGTTTGAGGGTAGTCTGGGCTACCGGGTGAGTTTACAGCTGGCCTAGACTACAGAGTGGGACCCTGTCTCGGGAAACAAAAATGCCATCTCTTTATTTAACATATCATGGGGACTTTCTCATGTATACACCAAGCCACACAAATTTTCATGGGCACATACTCAAACAGCAGAATAAGAATCTAATTGGTCCCTTCTGATGGACATTTGGGTTGTTCTTTCTTTCTTTCTTTTTCTTTTGCAATTATAAATAATACTTCAGCAAACACCCCTGCATATAAATTTTTGTCTGTATTCTGATCATTTCATTTGAGAAAAATCCTAGAATTGGGAGTTCTGGTCAAATAGTATGTTTTGGTTTTGGTTTTGGTTTGGTTTGTTTGTTCTGTTTTCTGAAACAGGGTCCCACTGTGTAATCCAGGCTGGCCTTACACTCACTGTGTATCCCAGACTGGCCTCAAACTCATGGTGGTCCTCCTGCCTCAGCCTCCTGAGAGCCAGAATTACAGGAGTAATTCCATGCCTGGCTTACTGTGTGTTTTGTAAAAGCCAGGCCTGAGTTTTGTTTTCTTTGCTCTTTAAGTAACAGCTTTGGCAAGGTGTAGTTCACATACGTAAACCACCATTTAAAAATACCCAATGAGTAGAGTTTTGTTTTTGTTTTTGTTTTATTTTTTGTCTTTTTGACTCAGTCTCACTATGCAGTTCAGGCTGGCCTTGAACTCACAACGATCCTCCTGCCTCAGCCTCCCAAGTGCTGGGATTACAGGCGTGTGCCCCGAATCCCAACTTGGAGTAGACTTCTAGTCTTTTCATGGAGGTATATAATTCTAAAACATTATCTAATTCCAAAACATTTTCCTCACTCCAGAAAGAAACCCCAGGCCCGGAGCCGTCAGCCCCAGTTCTCTGAAGCCTTCCCAGTCCTAGTCAGTGACCACCTGCTTTCTGTCCCACGGCGGTGCCTCTGTGGGCCGCACAGTTAGTGGTCTGGCGCCTTCCTCTACAAAACGTTTTAGGGTTTCATCCACCTTGTGGCCTCCACCACATTTCACTCCCTTCCTAGTGCAGGCACGATTGCCTCCTGCGATCGGCCCGCACTGTCTGTGTTCACCAGTCAATCAGTTGGCGTGTGGGGAATGTCCACCTTGGGTCCGTTATAAATCTTTTATGTATGTATGTTTTCAGTTCACCCTTCTCTCTGATTTTTGTTTTTGTTTTTCTGAGGCGGGGTCTCACTGTGTAGTTCCGGCTGATCTTGACCTCACTATGTAGCTCAGGGTGGCCTCAAACTCCTGGTGGACCCTCCTGCCTCAGCCTCCTCAGGGGTAGGATTGCAGGCACGCACCCCCACACCTGGGTTTCAGTTCTCTCGAGTATATGCTTAGTAGTAGAAGTGCTAGTTTAATTTTTTTTTTGTCTTTTTCATTTTTATCGGTACCAGGGATCGAACTCACGACCGCCTGCTTGCAAGACAGGTGCTTATGCCGCTGAGCTAAATCCCCAGCCCTCAACTAGTTTAATTTTTTGTAAAACTGCCAAGCTTTTCCAAAGCATCTATACCATTTTCCATTCCCACTCACTGTATAAGAGGCTTCTAGCTTGTCCGAGTCCTCACCAACACGCATTATTGCCTGTATTTTAAATTCTAGTCATTGTCTGGGGATTTAGCTCAGTGGCAGAAGCACCTGCTTGGCAAGAGTGAGGTCCTGCGTTTGATTCCCAGCACCAAAAAAAAAAACAAAAACAACAACAAAAAAAAAAAACAATAAAACTGTGGTCCCCCTAGTGGATCTAAAGGGATATCTCACTGTGGTACTTTCAGGGGGGGTTGTTATTTTTCTGGGGCTGCAGATCGAACCTGGGCCCTTCTGCTCTAACACTGAGCTACATCCAGCAGCTCTGTGTCGCCCTCCTAACTAATGCTGTGGAGGTCTTTTCATGTGCTTATCACCCGTTTATGTCTGGCTGTGTATCGATCTAGATGACTGTTTTTGTAGGCCTGGGTATTTCACCCAGAGGTGCTTTTCCACAGTTACATCCTCCGTGTTTTTACTCATTCTTGTTAAGTTCCCCAGGCGAGGCTCAAATTCGAAATCCTCCTGCCTCAGCCTGTCAGATCTTTTGCCCACTTTAAGTGGGATTATCTTTTAACTATTATTATTTGTCACAGCAGCAGCAGTAGCAATAGCAGCCACATCTCCAGTCCTCCTCCCGAGACAGTTTTGATAAGGTCACTGGATTGTCATCTCGCTTGTCAGCCTCCTGCCCTAGGCTCACACGTACCTGGCATTCAGATGTGTGCCGCCGAATGTGGCTTACTGATTTTTAAGTATTCTTTGTATATTCTGAATACAAGTCTTTCATCAGATATATTAATTTGCAAATAGTTTCTCCCATTCTGTGAACAGTCTTTAAAGTCCATTGACTTTTTCCTTTGGTTGCTCGAGCTTTTGTTATCACAGCTAAGGAAACCATTGCCTGATCTAAGGTTATGAAAATTAATTTTTCTGGATATGGTGGTGCACACCCGTAACCCCAGCACTCAGGAGGCTGAGGCAGGAGGATCACCAAGAGTTTGAAGCCAGCCTGGATGATATAGTGAGTTCAAGGCCGGACTGCAATACATAGTGAGCCCTGTCAAAAAAAAAAATTTTTTTTATGACAAATTAGACAGTTTTATTTGAGAAATGGGAACAGCCTGCCCTTTCCACCCTTGAGGTCCTAGATCTGCAGCTCTGCCTTAGTTTTTCGTTGGTTAGTTTCCCAAGACCCCTGCCAGCTGTAAAACTGTGGTGTTACATGAGCTACAAGAATCTCTATGATCCCAGCACTCGGGAGGCTGAGACCAGCTTGGTTCAAGGCCAGCCTAAACTATATTGCGAGATCCTGCCTCAAACAAAAAACTTCTAATTATTTCCTCCTCTCTCCCTTCCTCCCTCTCTGAGACACGATCTCACCATGTTGACCATACTGACCTTGAACTCCTGGGCTCCAGCCTTTAATCAGCCCTTTTTACTGTGGAAAAAACTATTAGAACAAGAGTGAAGACACCTGTGCTTTCTTCTGTTAAACCCCTTTCAGTGGTCAGGTTGTATTACAGCAAGGAGACGAAAATTCCAGGAAAATCCCAGACCCTGCCACACGCAGGGCGTCCTGGCCACCTGCGCGACCCTGGGGTCCTGTCCTTTGTGTGGGAGGGAGCCATCCTAACATCGCCTTCCCTACAGGAGCAGTAGCCAGATGAAGAAGCGGCCTACGTCCGCCGTGGGCTACAAGAGGCCGATCAGCCAATACGCTCGGGTTGCCATCGCGATGGGGTCCCACCCCAGGTACCGGGTAAGAAACTGGGGAGTCAGAGCAGGACGGAGGGAAACCCGAGGGAGTGGGCGCCCCTCTGCTTCCCCTAAGCCTCCGGCCACCCCTGCCGACATCTAAGATTGACCGAGTGCCTAGAGGGTGCGGCCACTGATGCCACCGCTCACACCTGACGTGATTGCATCGCAGGCTGAAAATGTCATGTTTTTGGAGTTGGACGTGTCCCCTCCGGCAATCTTCGAGATGGAATTTTCTCATGACCAAGAACAAGACCCGCGTGCACTACACATGGAGAGGCTCATGCGACTGGACAGCTTTCTGGAAAGACCGTCCACGTCTAAAGTCCGAAAGTCCAGATCCTGGTCAGTACCTCTGTGGTCAGAGGGAGCAGTGGACTTAGGCAGGGGACCACACGGGCTGGCTGAGGTGGACGAGGGTTTGGGGAGCACCCAGCTGGGCTGTGGCAGGGGAAGGGAAGATGTGACTCTTCGTGTCCCGTGTTTCCCTCCTCTCCCCCTCCACCCACCGCCCCATCCCTGCAGGTGCCAGAGCCCCCAGCGGCCTCCGCCCTCCGCCACACATGCCTCCATGGCCTCCGCCCCTCTGCACCCTGCCACAGCGGTGGACCACGAGTGACAGCCTTCACAGTTAGGTTGCCCAGCGCCTAACTCCGGGCACGAGGCAGCCAGCCCCGGCTCATCTCATCCGCAGCTTGGTGGTGTGCGTCTGAGTGTGTGTGCATGTGTGTGTGCGCGCGCGTGCGTGTGTATGATGGGGTGCCCACTCTTCTGCACCTCCTTTATTTAATCCATGTTATTTATTCGTGGAGCCAATCGTGGCCGGGAAGCACCCGGGCCGCCGTGGTCTGTGGTAGCCTCCTTCTCTCCGGACTGGAAACCCCCAGTCAAACCTCCAGCACCTCCCGTGTCACCGCCCCCCTCAGGGAGGCACCAGTGCCTGAGTGGCAGCACAGGGGTCACCTCTGCCCCTGCCACGAGCAGCCCCTCAGCACTTCCTGGGACGAGAAGACTTCGAGGGCGACAGACCTCCTGACAGTCCCAGGCTCCAGTCCCGGTGGACAGGGCTCTGTCCTCCACCTCCTGGGGCTCGGACCACCTCTTCCTGCCTCTCAGGCTCTCTTGCAAGGACTTCGATGACCTCACCAACGCTGGCTTCCCCAGTTCGGCTTCCTGCCCACCTTCCCAGCCTTGAATAGGAATCACAAACCAAGGGGTTGATGCCGTGTCGGGACCTGCAGGAAATGGACCCAGATGATGTGGACGGTCGTCAAGGGAAATCCTCCCCTGGGTCTCTCTATTTCTGTCCCTTCTGTGAGCTTCCTTTGGTCAACAAGTCATCAAACTAACTCCCCATTTTCGAGCTTGGCTCCTTCCTGCTGTGGCCATTTCCCCCTGCAGCTGCCAGGTCTCAGGTCATTGCAGAAGGGATCAGTGTCGTCGTATCCCTGCCTAAGCAATGGTGTCACGGTTCCCTCTGCACTGAGCACAGGAAACAGACACCCAGGCAAAATCCTTGCCAGCTTTGTTACCCGTCTCGAAGGCGTATTTTCTGCATACTGTTTTGTTGAAAACTGCCCCATTCTTTACCACTTACGAAATTGGTCCCACTTTATCTTCTCTTGTGACAGCCCAAAATGTCTCCAGATACTGCAGGTGATAAGTAAATTGCTTCCAAGAAAAAAAAAACTGACTTTATTTTTTGCAAGTAGGACAAAAATTTTCATCCTTTAATTTTCAAAATGCCTTTGCACATATGCAACCTCACCTTATTACCTTATTTTAGAAGTTAAATCTGAATTAAAATTATGACATTGAGAGAGGCACGGTGGCACACGCCTGTAATTGCAGGCGGGGTCGGGGGCCGAGTCAGGAGAATTGGAAGTCTGAGGCCAACCTGGGCTACACAGAGAATTCCAGCAGGTTTGAGCTCCGTAGTAAGATCCTGTCTCAAACAAAAATAAGCAAAACAAAACAAGTTTCACTGCACAGGGACACTGGATCCTTCGTAACACTTGCCTAGTATACCTTAGAAATGAATCCCTCACCCTCTCTCTGTCTTTTGAGTAGAGACCTTAGATCTATTCAAAAAACTGTTGATAAACATGCACAAGGTATTATAATTGTAAACATTAAACAGTTTACTGTTTAATTTTATGGTGGTTGAAAAATCAGGAAATTCTCTCCTCCTAAGGATCATAAGATCAAATGCTTTGATCACCTTTGCAGTGTATGTTTTGCAGAGGTCATCACGAGCGAGGCTCTCAGACACCTTCCGAGTGGGAGTCTCCCGTCCCTAGACAGAAAGCAGCTCTGCCTCTGGGGTAGGGCAGGCAGATGTGGGGCTCTTCTCTTCTCTTCTCTTCTCTTCTCTTCTCTTCTCTTCTCTTCTCTTCTCTTCAGGAAATAAATCTCTCTTGCACTATTCAAGTGCTGCTCCGAGGATCACATTTTGTTTGATTTCCCTCAATGATGCTCTTTGCTCCGCTGTCATTTCCGACTAGATGGTTGAGCAACGCAGTGGCCATTTGCTCCCGTCCTTCAAGGGAATCACAATTTTCCTTAGCACCGGAGAGGTTCACTGAGACTCGGGATGCAGGCCAGAGTCTGGCCGCAGTTGGGCAGTGGTTGTGTGTGGCAGTGTCCTCCACCCCCGTGGCCTGGGCTTGGAGGGCCCTCAGGGATGCACTGAGCAGCCTCTCCCCCTGAGCTTGCTGGTTATTGGTTGAAGCAGCACGAGTCAGGCCATTCCCCGCTTGAACCCATCATCTCTGTCTTGTCTGGTCACTTGTCCCTCACAGTCTTAGAGCACAATGTCGCCAACTTCCCCACTTCCGGTCTGAGAGCTGGACCCAGGTGCGGTTGGAGATGGAGCCCCTGCTTGTGATTCTGTGTCTGTGTGTGTGTGTGTGCACGCGGTTACCTGTACAGGGGACACTACACTCAGTGAAACTGGAGCAGGGCCCATGAGGGTGGCTGGATCTCTCGTTTTCTCTTTTTCCTTTTGATATATCAAACATTTGATTGACCAAGTGAGGGCCTTGTTTAGGACCAAATTTCCTGTTTGTTGCTATGGTCTTTCTTTAGGACAACAGTTAATCCAGCGGCCCACTCTCGTTACTCTATCCATATGACTATATGGGACATATGTAATATATAAATATATATATAGAACATTACCCTCTGTCCCTTGGCTTCGGACGGAGGCCTTTCTGTGAGCAGGAGTGCACCGCAGTGTGCTGTGACCAGCAGCTGCAGGCCCCAGCCCTGTTCAGGAACACAGTCAACAATAAAGGAATGAGTGTCGTTGCAGTTTGCTTGCCTGCGTCTCTTCCCTTTATTTCTTCCTATGTTTACTGCCTTCTTCATTTTTTTCCCCTGCTTTGCTTTGTTTTTCCAGTAGGGGTTTCAGGAGTTTTGGAGAGCAGTGACAGATACGGGCATCTTGGGGAAAGATACCTGGCTGCCTCGGAGCGCGGTGGGGCAGGCCCCAGACCCTCACTGAGGGCCGTGCGGAGGCTGTCGGTGTCTAGGCTAGCGGCCCCCCAACAGGTAACTCTGAGCCATCAGCAGGTTTCACAGCTGTCGAACTGGGTTCCAGATGACCATCAGTGGCACACCGTCCTCTGCCCCTTTACTCTTTAGCCAACAGGCAGTCAGGCAGGAAATAATGAAACAAGGCACAGTATTCCCACGGATGTGCCTGGCAGGCTTTCATCAAATTGGATGAGGGACGGTCTGGGCCGGGGGGGTGTAGCTCTCCGTGGAGCGTTGCCTCCCCTGAGCCAGGCTCCAGGCTCCATCTCCAGCACCACAAAACAAAGAAAAAACCAGCCAGTCAGCCAGAAAGCTAAAAAACTTAATTCCCTGTAGTGTGGCAGTCTTAGAGGAAATAAAAAATAGTTACAGCTAAATAAACAAGCCCAAAGCCTCAAACGCAGCCCAGGTTCACCTGGTGGCTTTCTGGGCAGGACTTCTGTGTCTGCCAGGCCCTGGCAGGTTCTGGGGCTGGAGGCTGTGCCGCGTGGGGAGTGTTTGCCAGGGATCGCAGGCATCTGTGACGCTCCCAGGTGGGCGATTTCCACAGGGAACTTAGGGAGAGTATCATCTGCTAAAGACACGGGGATAGAACCAGCTACTTAGTGGTTCAAACACCAGCCCGCTTTTTTGGAGGCTTTCAGGCAGGAGGCAGGAGGTTTGCAGTGGGAGGTCAGCCTGGACAATTCAGTGGAACTCTCTCAAAATAAAAAGAAGGGCCAGCACTGCAGCCCAGAGTCCTCAGGACCAGAAGCAAAGCAGAACACCCAAAACCCAAAGCACAGTGATGAAGCTGTACTTACAGACTCAAAAGCCTGTATGTGTTCCTCTTCATCATCCTACTTCTCTAGCCGGTGAACCTCAGGAAAGCTCACAGTGCCCCACGGGTTTCACAAGGACTGAGAGCCAGGGACAGAGGCAAAGTGGTTTCTCTCCATTGGCATGGTCGGGAATGAGGCCAGCTCTCTAGACCCTTGACCTATGGCTTCCATTTTATTTTATTTATTTATTTATTTTGGTCTTTTTATTGGTACCAGGGATCGAACTCACGACTGCCTGCTTGCAAGGCAGGCGCTTATGCTGCTGACCTAAATCCCCAGCCCCCTATTTTATTTATCTTTGCCATGCTGCAGATCCAACCCAGGGCCTTGTACACTGGGCTACGTCCCCAGACTTGACTGTATTTTAAAATCACCCGTTCCTCCCCTTAGCAGTGGGATCCTATGCGTAAGGCAGAGAGATGGCTTGTCAAAGCCCCGGGAAACAGCCAGGAAGTAATGCTCTGCGGTGGCCTGGGTCTTTTGTTAACAGTTGCTTGCTATGGACAAGGAGAGAACAGCCTCAGATTGTTGATGACGATGACAGGGACAGGTCAGGCCCCAGGAATAACCCAGCCCACAAAGCCCGCTCTAGCTCCCCACATTTCTTCCTCTGTGCAGGAATCCAAGCTCTTTCTCAGCTGCTCCAGGCTGACGCAGAAAGTATGTCTACCAGCGGCTCCCAGTCGACACGATCCTCTGTCCCTGCCCCGTTCCAGGAAACGGGACTCTAATTTATCAGTTTGGGTCAGCGAGTTGGGCACAGGATATGGGAATAAAACCTCCGAGGGTCCTGCCCTTGAATGGGTGGTGTTGGTGGCAGTCATACTAGAAATAAATGCACTCTCAAAAAAGATAACAGCAGGGCCGGGGGTGGGTAGCTTAGTGGTTGCACATGTGTGTGACATTGCAGGGCCCTGGCTTTGGTCCCCAGCACTGAGCAGGGCAGGGCAGACGATGGCACCGGGGTTGATGGAGTTCTAGGTGACCAGTGCAAGGGACATTCTTGGTTTCCTTAGCCACCATGTCCTTCACTCAGGCTAGTTAAATGTCACTTTGATTTGGGCTTATTTCACACAGACACACACACACACACACACACACACACACACAGAGCCATTTTCTTACAATGTGGTTGAGAGGTTAGCTGTGACAAAATTGGTATTCTTAGATATTCTGTGTCTTTGGTCCAGGATAGAACCAGGCGGTACAGGGCCAGGGATGTAGCTCGGTGGCACAGGCGCCTGCCTGGCAAGCATGCGTTGGATCCCTGGTACCAAAAAAAAAAAAAAAAAAAAAAAAAAAAAACTGTGGGTACACCCTACAGGATGACTTTCTGATATCCACTCTTCTTACTTAAAAAATAAAGGTGAGGACTGGGCGGCAGCTGTTTAAAGCACTTGCCTAGCATTCAATAGGTTTGATCCCCATACCACAAAAAACAACAAAGAACAACCATGGAGTTGCATGTGGTGTAAACTGGGTGTGGTGGCACACTCCTGTAATCCCAGCACCTCAGAGGCTGAGGCAGGAGTGCTGTGAGTTCAAGGCCAGCCTGGGCTCCATAGTGAGACCATCTCAAAAATGAAATACCTAGGAATCAATCTAACAAAGGTTGTAAAAGACCTCTACATTGAAAACTACAGTACTCTGAAAAAGGAGATTGAAGAGGATATTAGAAAATGGAGAGAGATCCCTTGCTCTTCAGTAGGAAGAACTAATTAGTAAAAGTGGCCATACTTTCAAAACTCTTACACAGATTCAATGCAACCCCAATCAAAATGCCAATAATGTATCTCACAGAATTAGAGAAGAGACTTAGAATAGAAAAGATAATCCTGGACTACAGGACAAGACAGAGGCATCACAATCCCTGACTTGAAATTATACTATAAAGCTCTTGTGATAAAAATGATGTGGTACTAGCAAAAAGAAGATCAATGAAACAGATTAGAAGATGCAGAAATAACTCCAGACACACTAAGCCACCTTATCTTTGACAAGGTGCCAAACACATCCACTGGAAAAAAGACAGCCTCTTTAATAAATAGTGCTGGAAAAACTGGCTCTACACATGCCGAAGATTAAAACTGGACCCATATCTTTCACCATGCACTAACCTAAAATCAGAATGGATCAAAGACCTTAATATTAAAACAGAAACATTCAATCTGCTGGAAGATAGAGTGGGTAAAACTCTTGAAGACATTGGTGTAGGCAACGACTTTATGAATAAACTCAGATTGCACAGGAACTATCACAAAGAGTCAACAACTGGGATCTCACCCTACTCAAAAGCTTCTGGACAGCAAGAGAAACCACCAACAGAGTGAAGAGACAACCCACAACGTGGGAGAAACTTACAGCTGTTCTCAAAGGATTACTATGGAGAACATACACAGAACTCAAAAAAATTAGTCCTCTCTGGGGCTAGGGATTTAGCTCAGCGGCATAAGCACCTGCCTTACAAGCAGGCGGTCGTGAGTTTGATCCCTGGTACCAATAAAAAAAAAATTAGTCCTCCCACACATATAAAGATCCAACCCAAAAATGTGCATCTGAGATGAATACACACTTCTCAGCTGAAGAAATACAAACAGCATAAATATATGCAAAAAAATGTTCAGATTCACTGGTCATTCGAGAGATGCAAATTAAAACAACACTGAGGTTCCACCTCACCCCGGGAAGAATGGCTACTATCAAGAAATCAAGCACCAACAAATGCTGGAGAGGCTGTGGGGAAAAAGGAACCCTTCTCCACTGTTGGTGAGAATGCAGACTGGTACAACCACCGGGGAAATCAGTGTGGAGATTCCTCGAAAAACTAGGATTGGAAGTCCCATCAAACCCAGCTATTACCCTTCTACGAATCTTCCCAAAAGAATTAAAACATCATGCCACAGTGATATATGTGCACCCATGTTACATGTATGTAACGGCCAGATGTTGGAAACAACCTAAATGCCCACTGATTGATGAATGAATAAAAAAGATGAGGTCTTTTTATTCAGTGAAGTATTAGTCATAAAGAAGGATAAGCTGGAGACTTTTATAGGTAAGTGGCTGCAACTTGAAACCATATTCTTTAGTGAAATAAACAAGACACGTGTAAAACATCATAGTTTCTTTTTTTTTTTTTTTTTTTTTTTTTGTCCTTTTCCTTTTTATCAGTACCGGGGATCGAACTCACGACTGCCTGCTTGCAAGGCAGGTGCTTATACCACTGAGCTAAATCCCCAGCCCGAAACATCATAGTTTCATTAGCATGAGAAACAAAAAAAATACATATAGGTATATGTATACGTATAAAAAATAGTTAAGATAGTTATGCTACTGATTCTCTGAGTTCACTGTAGAGAAGATTTGTGCTGATATTGTTAAGACAACTGAATGCAGCTGTCTTGTGCCCTGGATGAATGATTTGGGGGTGACAGTGTGCAATGTATGGCCCAATGTTGCCCCCTGACTGATTTGTAGTCTTCTTCTTCTTCTTCTTCCTCTTCCTCTTCCTCTTCTTCTTCCTCCTCTTCCTCCTCCTCCTCCTCCTCCGTCTCATTCTTCTTTTTTTCTTTCTTTTTATACTTGAATAAAATGGATTTGGAAAAAAATAAAATCAAAAAATAAATAAGCACCTTCAAATAATTCCAGTGAACATTCGGCTGGTTTCCCAGTGAGTCTGCCTGCAGCCTCGGGCCTTCTGCCCACGGACTATAACCACACTTAGGGACGACAGGAGCAGAGGGCACAGGCGCCACCCGGCCCAGGCCACAAAACCAAAGTGACTGTAGGTTAATGTCCAAAGCTTTCCTTTTGCAATAAGGAAAAGTAGGCCAGGAAAAGGTCAGTGATTTCTGGAAAGCCACAGGAATGGTTAGCAGCTGAGACAGACCAAAGGTGTACAGATTTACTAGACAAACACACCCTTCCTGGTTCCGGGTGTGTGATTATTCTTAC